TAGACATCATCCCTTGTTTCCTTGGTTTGTATTTTCTGTTCACCCATGGCTGCTTTAATCACATCCACATCTCGCTGGGTAAACTGCAAACTCGTTTTTATCTCCTGTATTTCTCTGGTCATGTCGTCGAGTCTCTTGTTATTTGTCTCCATAAGTAGTTGCACAAAACCTTTGAAGTTGTCTTGTTGTTGGCTCAACAGTGCGGTGTACATCTGCTTCTGCTGACTCAACATCTCTGTTACTTGCGCCGCTGAAATATAATCCTCTTCTGCTTCAACATCCTCGTTCGCTTCTGATTTATTAGCTCTTTTCCCTCTTGGAGGCATTTTAATAGTTGTAGAATTTGTCCAAAGACTTGAAAATGTAGAAGATGTGAAAAATCGTAGAACAGACAAGAGTAGCAGTAAAGACGTCTGCTCTTGCTTGCAACCCAGAAGTCCAAGTTTTTGAAGTCTGTTGCACAGACTAAACTAAATGTTGTAAAGAATTTGGAAAAATACATGTGGAAGGACACCTAGAGCCACTTCAAGGACTGTGGGAACTGCTGGGACATCTATGAAACCCTCGAAACTCTCCGAGGCCCCATAGGATATCTATTTAAACCCCCCAAGTTGCCCGTGATGGCGGCGCATATGCACACAGTGGCCCAGGGCCCCTCGGCTCCAAACAAATTTTTGTTGTATGTGTCACAATGTTACAATGACAATAAAATAAAGCTGCTTCTTCTTCTAAACTGTAAGACAGGACACTTCATTCCATTAAACTGGAAGCTAACTACAACAACAATCCTGTTACCAGTTAATTAATTTGAGGATCACCTGAAACCCCCTCAAAGACTTGTGGTACCTTTTGAGCCTATCAAAGCCACTGGAACTCTCATCATTGCCAGTGGAACTTTTTCAAGACCCCTCGAACATCTTCAAGGACCCATGCAACTTTTCCAGAGACCCCTAGAACCTCCTTTAGAACCACTGGAAACTTTTCAAGTAGCTTTAGAATCTACTCATCAACTTCTAAAACATTCTCAAGGACCGAACTAACCTCACCAAGGACTTTCAAAATATGCAGACTAAACTAACCACGACCACAGAAAGACAAACATCAGTCTGATCAACAGACTCAGGGTATAATTCAACAACAACAAAAAAAAAACATCTGAGGAGGTAAGAGGAGAGGACAGGAGAGAAATGGAACAAAGGAAAGGACATGAAAGGAAAAGGGATGAGCAAGGGAGCATGAGAAAGGACAGAAGGGGACAGGAAAGCAAAAGCAAATAGCATTGAAAGGTGTGAGGGGAGAAGAAGGAATGAAGGGAGAAAGCAAGGGTGGGAAAACAGAGGAAAGAAAAGGAATGAAAGAAAGAGGTGAGGAGATGGAAGAGGGAGGAAAAAAGGAGCAGAGTAGGAAAAGAAAGGAAAACAGAATAGGAAAGGAAAAAGCATTAGAGGAAGAGATTATGTGTGTTTACAAATCAGTCTGTCTGTCCTGTCTAGATTAACACCCAGCCTCATGGGGCTCTGATGCCCCCTGACCTCCCCCCTCTCTAGTATCTGATAACCACCCAGAGCCCCGGGGTCTGTGGGAGAATAAGTCATTCTGCCTGGTTTTTCAGACTGTGTTAGACCAGTACTTAAGTTCACC